CTTTTTTAGTTATGTGTTCAATATTACTGTCGATTTTAGTTAAAGAAAATGCCTACGATACTTTTTATTATTTGTTAGTCGTATGCATCCAAGATAGATGTTTCATAATATGTTTTGTATCGAAATAGATTTATTATAGACAGAATTTTAGTGATAAACGTATACATAGGGCAGGAGTTTTCTCGTTGTCATTTCTACGCATATTAAAATTCTGTGAGCCTCAAATGTGAACATACACAATTTGAATATTATTTCTTTATGAATAGTATAGAGATTAATGAAAGTTCAGCAGTTAGAATACCAAAAGAAAACAAAATTTCTCCTTATTAAACACATATTTCGAAAGAATATAAAATAAATCAAAAATCATTTTAGCAAGATTGTGAGTGATGTTATATTCATTCTACAAGTCTCGCTCATATACTTTCACGACAACATTGGTCACACTGAAAAACATGTATATAGCAGTACTTGTCTAATACGAGATCGAATGTAAATAAAACTATCGTATTCACATATGGCATCAGTAGCCAAAAATAAATAATAAATTCTTTCTCACTTATAATTTTAATTCAAATAATGACTATCTTATTAAACTAGCAAAGTAACCAAAGGCTAATTATATTTTGAATATTAATGCAAATTTGAATTAGAACTGTCTAGTACACTATACGACTAAATTATCTGTACGAAAAGTCATTATGGAACTGTTTCATTCATTTTTGAATTTTCATAATACGCACTTCAATATTCAACTATATTCGAATTTCAATTAGAAAAACTCGCGATAGTGTTCATTATAATCATAAAGAAAATAAATCGAACTGATGATGTCGTTGTTGCTTTTTTTGTTCTTGCCAGCAAGAGAAAAAAATCGCTCTCAGAAGACCAAAGAAAAATAAACAATGTATGAAACAAGGTATCCAACGCAATGACACTGACATCACGGTATAGATGAAAAACAAACGAAAGTTGGAAAGAATAAACAGAAAATAAATGACGTTGTTGTATTTTTTCTCTTTCATTCGTTATTGACAATTATATTTTTAATTGAAACTGAATATGTGAAGTTTGTTGTTTAGTGTCAACGAAAAAAAAAAAATAACACTCACATTTAATATCGTAGTAAAATTTAGAAAAAGAACACAAGGCAATGACTATACGGTATTGATCATGAAAGTAAATGTTGGCAATTAATGCAACGATCTTTCTATACTTAGAACATTGAATAGAGACTTCTGTAGTTGTCGTTTAGTTTGTAAAGTTATTTTGTAGCCACAAAGCCTAGCTCTCGTATTGAGGCAGTTGATTCCAATCTTCATCAATCTATCCATTAATATATTCTAAAAGACACGATAATCATTCTAAGTCATCTTTGAGATATAAACATCTATTACGGGTTATTAACTTTTTATTAATCAATAGTCGTGAAAATGTAGTCTGTCACATTATGGCAAATGTTCTTGTCAATGACGTTATAATAAAAAATGCTATTTAATTAGTATCGAGAAAGTGTGACTCTTACAAATCTTTTATGGTTTTCTGTCTTGTGGGTTCATCTTACGACATACCTGATCTTCTCGATGACAATCTTGTCTAGAAATAATTTTAGAACTTCAAAAGCTCTAATACTACATGAAGATCTTCTTGATAATACCTAAATGATATTTCATGACATCTTCTAGTATTTAGGATTCTTTGCTTAAAAACAATACTGAATTCCGTGCATCAATACGTTATGTCTGTTATCATTGTTGGTTATGATGAATATTCGCATATGAAGTCTGTTTCAGGTTCGCTTTTACAGATGTTTCCGAGCAGCAGCATAAGCCGATTGAAATATGAAATCTATTTGTCATATTCATCTAGAGATGTAAGCAGATCACCCGCAGCGCCGTCAATATAGTAATCAACCAAAAAACTAAGTACTCGACTTTTGAAATTCCTCTATCCCCAGTTCTAGTTTCGGTAAGATATTTCTCTCGTTTCTTAGCAATCTGTCCTACATCATCCTATTCTTCAATTTTCCAAATCAAGAAGACTTCTTGTCACATAAAAAAAAAGTGAATGCTCTAGCGAACTGAATTTTCAGCATTCATTCAATTTTAACGATCTTTTCAATATGATGTTTATCATACTTCGTCTATACGTTTTTCGCTACATTAGATACTTGTGAATGAAGAACGATGAAGAAAAAATGGAATGAATATAATGCAACGAACAGTATCGAATTGAATTTTAAGGTCTTTCGATTGATTCAAACTCGTCAACATGATAGAAGAAAATAGACAGCCAGTCGTAAAAAGCTTTCGATGAGATGTCAACACATTGAAAGAAGGAAGCGAATAAAGAAAAATGCAGTCTTACTTTTCTTCACTTGTCCTTTGTTTACATATTCTATCCTCGCAAATGATGGTATCAATAATAAAACTGCATTAATGTATGTTTTTGTTTTGTTGGCTCGTTCTTTGTTAATCTACTTTTGTTTGTTGATCTTTCTTGTTTGTCATAGTTACATTTTTAGAAGAACCCTAACAGAATCATGAAATCAATGTTACGGCCAATTTTGTTTCTATTCGCGGAACAAAGTTCTGTGTTTGTGCAAAGACATGTGACATGCACAACAATCATAGTGTTTTTTTACTTATATCTTCAATATTACTGTCGATTTTAGTTAAAAAAATAACTGCAATAATTTTCATTATTTGTTCGCTGTATGCAAACATAGATAACTCTCCTAATAGACATTTTCTCGTTGTCATTGTGATGCACGCTAAAATTGTGTGAATCTCAATTGTGAACAAACCCAATTTGAATATTATTTCTTGATGAATCATATAAAGATTAATGAAAGATCAGCAGTTAGAATATCAAAAGAAAGCAAAGTTTCTTTTTATTTTACACATATTCCAAATGAATATAAGATACATCAAAAATCATATTAGCAAGAGTGTGAATGATGATACATTCATTCTTCTAGTCTCACTTGCACACTCTCAGAACGTCATTTACCTCATTGAAGAATCTGTCCAGAATTCAATAACCTGTTGAAATTTAGGTAGCAGATCAATCCTAAGGTTTCAAACAAAATTGACAACATCGTAGTTTGTTTACTCACAAATTGTAGACAATTGCAGTGCTGTCTCAAATATGAGTGTGGCTGTGAATGTCGAAAGAACCAAAACCTACACCTACATCTTTCTGAAAATTTCTTGAGTTTCGTGAATTCCGAGAGTTTCGTGACTGGAACTGCTTTTTTGAGTGTTCCAGGAGTTTAGAACTCACTGAATTCGACTATTGCTGCCAAGGGATGACTAATTTTATTCAGAATATTGATTCGAATTTGAATTAGAACTGTTTAGGACAGGGTATGGCTAAATTTATTGTATGTGACAAGGATAAAAATGGTTGTTCAACTATTGCTCCAATCAATATTGAATTTACTTTTCTTGTTGTTTTCTTTACGTTATCAGCGTGTCAATCATATGCATTATGAAAAAAATAAAGCAGATAATGTCATTTTTGTTTTTTTTCGTTCTTGACAGAATGAGAAAAGTCTTTTTTCTTTAAAAAGAATCGGTGAAAAAGTAAACAATCAATGCGACATGGTATCCTACACATTGGTTTTTAAGTGATTCTTATGTAGACGAAAAACAAACGAAAGTTGGAAAGAATAACAATGGAATAAATGACGTTGTTAAATTGTTTCTCTTTCATTTGTTGTTGACAACCATGTTTTCAATTGTAACTGGGTGAAATTTGTCCTTGAGTGTCAACGAAAAAAATAATACATCTATATTTGACGTCGTAGAAAAATCTAGAAAAAGAACAGACGACATCGAATATATAAATAGAAAAGGTAGTCTCTGTCCAAACAACAATCTATCATTGAAAATACTCAATTGTCAATCAAACGCCAAAAAATGGCATCAAGAATGAGTGAACGCCGAAGACAACGAATGACTGAAAATTATTTGGTTATCTGGGTCGATGGAAATATCGATATGGCAAATGAAGATTGCCAAAGTACACTCGCGCAATTACGCGGTGTTGTTAATGAAGTGAACCCATGCGCCACGGCCGAACAATGTATCCAGAAACTCCAGGAAAACAATGAGGAGACATCATTCGTGATCTCCTCTGGTACGCTGGGACAACAATTGGTACCAGATATTCATGACATGCCAAAGCTGGATGCCATATATATCTTTTGTGGCAACAAACAACGCCACCAAGAATGGGCTAAAAATTGGCCCAAAATTAAAGGTGTGCATACATCGATCAAGCACATCTGTGAAAAATTGGCACTAGCTGTCAAACAATGCAATCAAGATCAAGTAACGGTCAGTATTATCGGTGCCAATGAAGGAGGTTCTAGCGAAAATCTCAATCAGCTAGAGCCTTCCTTCATGTATACCCAAATATTCAAGGAAATACTCCTTGATATGGAACATGGCCAAGAAGCCATAAAAGATTTGGTTATTTTTTGCCAAGAACAATACCAAGGCAATAGCAAGGAACTCAAATTAATCAAGGAATTTGAACGTACTTATCGTCCAACATTGGCCTTATGGTGGTATACCCGCCAATGTTTTACATACAAAATGCTCAATCGAGCATTAAGAACACTCGACGGTGACATTATCATTCGAATGGGATTTTATCTATGTGATGTTCATCGACAAATTGAAACTTTACATACCAAGCAAGTCAGTCAATATCATGGTAAGACATTTCTTGTTTATCGCGGGCAGGGATTACCGAAGGTAGATCACGAAAAACTCGTCAAAAGCAAAGGTGGACTCATTTCATTCAATAATTTTTTATCCACCAGTAAAAATCGAAATGTGTCCTTAGCTTTCGCCAACGAAGCCTTAGGAACAGAAGGAATGATTGGCGTTCTCTTTCAAATGACCATCGATCCTATGGTCTCATCGACTCCTTTTGCCTCCATCAAGGAGGTTAGTGATTTCGCACAAGAAGAGGAAATTCTCTTCTCGATGCACACCGTCTTTCGAATCGGTGAAGTTCGAAAAATTGATAAGAAAAGTCCACTTTATGAAGTGGAACTCAAACTTACGTCGGATGATGACCAACAGCTTCGTCAATTAACCGATCGTATACGAGAAGAATCTTCGGGTGGCACTGGATGGTATCGACTGGGTTCTTTGCTACTCCAAATAGGTCAATTCAACAAGGCCGAAGAATTGTACATGGCACTACTAGAACAGGCATCCGACGACAGTGATAAAGCAATTATCTATCACCAGCTTGGATGGTTGAAAGACGACCAAGGACAATACCAAGAAGCAGCTTCATTTTATGAAATGTCTCTCAAAATTGAACGAAAAACTCTACCAGAAGATCATCCTTCATTGGCTACTTCCTACAACAACATTGCTCTAGTGTATAATAACATGGGTGACTACTCGAAAGCACTTGAATTTTACGAAAAATCACATAAAATAAAAGAAAAAGCTCTGCCTTCGAATCATCCCGATTTGGCTGCTTCCTACAACAACATCGGTCTCGTGTATAACGACATGGGTGACTACTCGAAAGCACTTGAATTTTACGAAAAAGATCTCGAAATCAAGAAAAAAGCTCTGCCTCCGAATCATCCCGATTTGGCTATTTCCTACAACAACATTGGTGGAGTGTACAACAACATGGGTGACTACTCGAAAGCACTTCAATTTTATGAAAGATCACATCAAATCTTGGAAAAAGCTCTGCCTCCGAATCATCCAGATTTGGCTACTTCCTACAACAACATCGGTGGAGTGTACAACAACATGGGTGACTACTCGAAAGCACTTGAATATTCTAAAAAGGACTTCGAAATTACAAAACAAGTTCTGCCTGAGAATCATCCAGATTTGGCTACTACATACAGCTGGTTCGGAAAGATTTATCGCAGTATGAAAGATTATCCAAAAGCACTTGATAATTTCGAAAAGTGTCTCGCAATAGTTCAAAAAACGTTACCTGAAAGACATCCCAATCGAGCTATTACATATAGTAATATAGGTGATGTTCATCGATTAATGGGTAATTATGAAAAAGCACTTGCATTCCATCAAAAAGCATTAAATATTCAAGAAAATGTTCAATGTAATCCTCTGGAATGTGCAACGACATATATAAATTTAGGTGAAACTTATCGTGAAATGAAAGATTATTCAAAAGCATTGACATATTTCGAAAAAGGATTAGAAATACGTGAAAAGAAATTACCAAAAAATCATCCTGATTTAGCTGTTGTATATCATAATATGGCAAAATTATATTTGGCTACACGAAAATATAGTATGGCAATGAAAAATATTCAACAAACAGTTGAAATAGCTCAAGAAAAATTACCTTCAACTCATCCTCATCTTTTGGAATATAATGAAACATTTGAAAGAATTCGAAAGAAAATGTAATCAATTTTTTTTCGTTTACTTGCTCAATAAATTGGTTTTGATTCTATTTCACTTCCCTACTTTTCTAGGCTCATTTTCCCGCGTACGCGCGCGCGCGACCAGGGAGAGACCCTATGCGTATGAAACGGGTACACACAGAGCGGACCACGCCGGACTGGTAGGGCAATGTACATAGGTGTACCGTACATAATGACGGCAGGGACCTACGTACATTAAAGGCCTTCCCGAGCACTACACTGCTTTCGCCATTCCATGACGAATAGAATCTCTCTCCGGATCAGGTTACGAAGCCACCTGATAAGGCTGTGATATAAATTGGTATCTATCTTCTAACATAAATAACATAGACTTAACTTAATAATAATAGTATACACTAAATGTGTACAACAACGAAGAAAAAAATTATTTCATCCGAAATAAATCATCTATATCTCATTCTAACATTATCTCAATGTAAGTATTATTATGAAAATTTAATTTAAAATTATTCTTTCAACTATTAATTTATTTGTTCAAGTCTTTCTCAAGATAAATAAGATAATTTTTGAAGCAACATACCCAATCTTGTTATTGATATAAATCAATAATAAATCATATTTTTTTTAACATTCTCATGTTTTTTATAATTTCATATAATTCATAAAAAAAACAGATGAATTCTAAAAGCATCATAGAATAAATTTCTATCATAAATCAATATATCCTAACGTATATTATCATTGAAATCAAAAACATTGTAAAAAAATATGAATCATAATATAACATCATTGAATGAATGAATGAATGAATTTCATTATAAATTAATGCATTGTAAAGCAATGGATTTAAATAACACCATTCAATAAATTTCATTCTAAAATAATACATTTTAATATAATGATTCAATAGACATCATTGTAAATTAATACATTTTGATGCATCATAAACTGATAGATTTCATTGTAATATAATGCATCTTTATATAATATCATTCAATAAATATCATTGTAAGTAATGAATTTAACAACATATAATGAATTTCATTGTAAATCAATATATTTTTATATAATATCATTCAATAAATACTATGGTAAATTCATGCATTTTAACATAGCATTATACAATAAATTTCATTGTAATTTAATACAATATAATGCATCATAAACTTACATATTTCATTTTAAAATAATGCATCTTAATATAAGATCATTCAATAAATATCATTGTAAATAATGAATTTAACAATATATAATAAATTTCATTGTAAATTAATACATCTTAATATAATATGATTCAATGAATATCATTGGAAATTAATGAATTTTAACATAATATCATATAATAAATTTCATTGTAAATTAATACATTTTAATACATCATAAACTGATAAATTTCATTGTAAAATAATACATTTTTAAATAATATCATTCAATAAATATCATTGTAAATAATGAATTTAACAACATAAAATAAATTTTATTGTAAATTAATATATTTTTATATAATATCATTCAATAAATACTATGGTAAATTCATGCATTTTTACATAGCATTATACAATAAATTTCATTGTAATTTAATACAATATAATGCATCATAAACTGACATATTTCATTGTAAAATAATGCATCTTAATATAAGATCATTCAATAAATATCATTGTAAGTAATGAATTTAACAACATATAATAAATTTCATTGTAAATTAATACATCGTAATATAATATGATTCAATGAATATCATTGTAAATTAATGAATTTTAACACAATCTCATATAATAAATTTCATTGTAAATTAATACATTTTAATGCATCGTAAATTGTATACATTTCATTGTAAAATAATGCATTTTTAAATAATATCATTCAATAAATATTATTGTAAATAATGAATTTAACAACATAAAATAAATTTCATTGTAAATTAATACATTTGGATGCATCATAAACTGATAAATTTCATTGTAATATAATGCATCTTTAAATGATATCATTCAATAAATATCATTGCAAGTAATGAATTTAACAACATATAATAAATTTCATTGTAATTTAATATATTTTTATATAATATCATTCAATAAATACTATGGTAAATTCATGCATTTTAACACAATATTATACAATAAATTTCATTGTAATTTAATACAATATAATGCATCATAAACTGACATATTTCATTGTAAAATAATGCATCTTTATATAATATCATTCAATAAATATCATTGCAAGTAATGAATTTAACAACATATAATAAATTTCATTGTAAATTAATGAATTTTAACACAATATCATACAATAAGTTTCATTGTAAATCAAAACATTTTAATCCATTATGAAATTAATAAAATTTCATTGTAAATTAATACATTTTAATACATCATAAACTGATAAATTTCATTGTAAAATAATGCATCCTTATATAATATCATTCAATGAATATTATCGTAAATTAATGAATTTTAACAGAACATCATACAATAAATCTCATTGTAATTTAATACATTTTTATGCAATATCATTCAATGAATATTATGGTAAACCACTGCATTTTAACGTAACATCATTTAATAAATTTCGCTATAAATTGATACATTTTAATGCATCCTAAATTGTATACATTTCATTGTAAAATAATACATTTTTAAATAATATCATTCAATAAATATCATTGTAAATAATGAATTTAACAACATAAAATAAATTTCATTGTAAATTAATATATTTTTATGTAATATGATTCAATAAATACTATGGTAAATTCATGCATTTTAACATAGCATTATACAATAAATTTCATTGTAATTTAATACAATATAATGCGTCATAAACTTACATATTTCATTTTAAAATAATGCATCTTAATATAAGATCATTCAATAAATATCATTGCAAGTAATGAATTTAACAACATATAATAAATTTCATTGTAAATTAATGAATTTTAACACAATATCATACAATAAGTTTCATTGTAAATCAAAACATTTTAATCCATTATGAAATTAATAAAATTTCATTGTAATATAATGCATTTATTGAATTGTACAGAGATGAATTTTAATAACGCCCACCCCTAGATTTCGTTCTAAAAAAAATACATCATTATATAATATCGATCTGTAAATATCATCGAAAATTAATGTATTTTAATTCTTTGCATCCCAAATTATTTCTACTGGACACTGACACGTCCAGATAAAAACCAGCATGCTCGCATACGGATTCACGTGCGCACACATACACACCATATCTACAAACACGACGCCCACCACATCCACACCGTTGAACATTTTTTATTGCTACATTTCAGTAAAGTACATAATAATTATTAAACATGTATAGATTTCTTTTTCCTACTATAGAATTGAAATGTTAACATAACATTATGTAACAAATTTCATTATAAATGTATACATTTTCATACATTATAAATTCATACGTAGCATTGTAAATATATTTCATTTATAATATTGTAAATAATTATAAATTGATAACTGTATGTCATTCATGAATAATCATAATGTAAAATAATACTAATTATTGTAAGTAATATAAAAAAATTGTAAACCGTGAAAAATAAATCATGTGAGTGTCATGTTTTATCTTGATTGAGCATGCTCATGATTTGTTCGATCGAATCGTATGAGAATACTGGTGAAAATGTGTTTCATATATATATATGTTTTTAAACATACATTGCCAATCAAAGACATTCTAATGATGTTGATATCAATTTGACGAACGATAATTGACGATGATGTGCACATTCGAATATAATTGATTTGATTAATCATCACATGATTAATTGAAATGATGAGACACGAATTAATTTCATTGTTTTTCATGTGCATAGATGTGAATACTTGTCCTTTGTTCATATACAGTCCTTTATGGACAATACATATTCTTTTCTTTCTTTTTTTTTTGGATCAAAAGAAATTTCTATTCATCGTCATCATCGAAAAAACAAAAGCAATTAATTTGAATCATAAATCATAGAATTATTTTTTAGTACGACTTTTGAAAATTGATTAGAGTGCATTATTCAAATGAACATATTTATTTTCTTGGAAACACAAGATCAACAAGTCTGTTGAGTACGACTGCACTGTCATTATATGAAAACTCGTTAAGACGAAGTCAAATAACTACAGAAAATTAAAAAGTTTTCATAAAATTCGATTTCTGTCCCATCGAATGAATATTTCTGTTGAAATTAAATCACTAATAGGGTGTGGGTGTGGGTGTGTAGGTGGGTGTGAATGAAGAACATAGACACACCCACCAATTTGTGTTGCTTTGTTTTTTTTGACGAATTTTCTTTTATTTTTTGTTCCTAATACAAACAGTTGAATGTCAATTATTATTAGTATAGAATGAGTTTTACTTATTTAGAAATCGACAACAAGGTTTCTATGATCAATATTCATCATCATACAGTGATTCACATTATTGGCATGGAAATAATTCAAATTCATATGATTTTTATGGTTCAACATTCATCTCATACACTTTTAAAACAAAATGGTTTTACTCAAACAGTTTATCTTAAATATAAACAATAATGTCTTGATGGTAAAAAAACGTTGATTGTAGAGAAAAAAAAAAGATTATTAGTTCAGTACATATTTACAATATTTCGAGAGAAACAAGCTACTGATAAAAAAAAATTGAAATTATGTTACATTGAACATATAAAAAACGAGTTTCTTAATGACTAAAGAAGAGTCAACATATCTAAAAACAACAGTGGAAACTACTCTCCAGTAAAAATCAGAGTCTAAAAATACATATTCTGATTTCAATAGCTAATAGAGAATATGTCTGTTGCTATAATTTTCAAAAAAAAACAAAGATTTTACTCTTCTATGGAGTTTTTTTAATAAATACTATCATTCTTATCTACATGATAAATTTGAAAAGCAATAAAATAATCGTCAATGATTAAAAACACTAAGTTTCACTAATCGCCAAACTTTATTATTTCATAGAAAATATTTATAATCGACAGTTATGTTGATTTACAAATAAGATACATTTTGTTTTCTGTAATGATCTAATTTCTAGAAAGCGTTAAACTTGGTTCTGGTCAATCAATGGAAATGGATACACTCTATCGTTTTTAGTCATTTTTCTTATGAAAAATAATAAGAAAAAAATTGAATATTATTATTTATGTATAGATATGGTGTTGAATGTCTATTTCGATTTTATACATATGATCTAGAAAAACATTTTCATCAACATGTATTTGAAGATTTTCAACAAGAAACCCTTTGTAATCATGAAGCTGGTAATAAAATAGATTACACAAAAAAAAAAAAAGAAAAGTATCAATAACAAAAATAATTTTTCTATTTAGGTCAATTATATTGTTTAGAAAAATTCTGGGCATCTTTAAAATATTCTCGAGAAAAACCAAAAATCAATTCAAAACTTGAAAAAATTTTAAAAAAATATAGAAATCTTGAAGATTTTCGTGTTGATGGTGTATCATTTCCACAACAATTTTTTCCAACAAAATCAAATTATAGTAATTGAAAAAATTTTGTTTTTCTATGATATAAATAATTTCTTTATAGACTATTCCAGCATTCGAAGCAATTGCTGCTGCAGTAGCAAAGAACAGTGATACATCAAATTCATTAAAACCCAATGGTGAACAATATCTGAACGGTGCTCACATTTTTTCAAGTGGATTTCGATTTATTTAAAAGTATGCATGTATTTTTTTTTTGCTTTCAAAGTTTATTGTTATTTAATCTTTTTCTATGTATATATTACATTGTTTTGTTATTGTAGTAGATAGATAGATTAAATAGTGATGCATTTTCTTTTTCTATCGATAGAGATATGAAGAATTTTCATATGGTTTCGTTTTGTTTCTGGAACTATTTGCTAATAAATTCATCTTGTTTATTTAATAATATTGGTAAGATATTGAGATAATATTTTATTTCGATAGAAGAATTTAGTGTTTTAAGAAGAATTGGTATTGGTTTAGGTATTGGTGGTGGTGTGATTAATTGTATGCTTTATAATGGTAAATATGAAAAGATTAAGAAAAACTTGTTTTCTTTAAATTTAAATATATTCTAGTTGATGATGGTCATCGAGATGTTATTTTTGATCGTTTTCAAGGTGTTAAACTAGATGTTATTGAAGAAGGAACTCATTTTATGATTTCATGGCTTCATAGACCAATTATATTTGATATTTGTAGACGACCACGATCTGTTCCATCAATAATAGAAATAAAAGGTATAAAAGCTAGAAGAAAACAGTCAACTTCAGGAGAGAGATGAACATGAGGAAAATGTATGCTCGCAAAAAAAAGAAGGTAAGTCAACTGATCGATTTACACCTCTACACTCTCATCATTCACCAATCTCAGGATACTTCATAAAACTTAAAACCGGAAGTCTCCGTTATTTTTTCTTCGTATAAATGAAATATGCATAAATTACATTTTATTATTTTTATTTTAGATTTACAAACAATTAATATAACATTACGTATTCTTTATCGACCAAGAGCTGAACTTTTACCAAAAAGTTTTTGCAAATTTGGATTTAGATTATGAAGAACGTGTTTTATCATCGATTATTAATGAAGTTTTAAAATCTGTTGTACTAAGTCTCAATTTGATGCTATTGAATTGATTACACAACGTACACTTATTTCTCAAAGTATTAGTGAATTATTAATAGAACGTGCTGCTCAATTTGGTTTATTACTTGATGATATTTCAATTGTAAGATACAACAAAAAAGAGTCTCGAGTTGATTATATTGTTTTTTTCTTTAAATTAGACACATTTAAGTTTTAGATCTGAATTTACAAGTGCTGTTGAATTAAAACAAGTTGCACAACAAGATGTTGAAAAACAACGATTTTTAGTCGAAAAAGTAAATCAATAAGAATCAAATTTGTATGAGTTGGTTTTTTTTTTGATAAAAAAAAAACAGACTGAACAAAGTCGTCAAGCAAATGTTATTGGAGTAGAAGGTGATGCTCGTACAGCTGATTTAATTGGCAAAGCTTTAGATGAAGCTGGTGGTGGTAAATTTTCGAATATCTTTTATTATTTTGTCTTACTTTATTTTAATACTCATGTTAGATTTGATCGAATTTCGACGAATTGAAGCCGCTGAAGGTATTGCAAATCAATTATCAAAATCAAGAAATATCGTCTATTTACCACATGGTCCTCAAATGGTAACATTACTGGTGCTATGCAATAAAAATATTGTTTTTTGTTGTCATAGTAAACTAACGAGATTGATTTAGGAAAATAAAAAGAACATATAAGAGTTTTTTTTGTATGTATGTGTGTGTGTTTATATAATATTGAGAATACTAAAGCATTGTATTGTCCTGTTTTTTGTTCGATTAAAGAAAAAGAAGATCAGATCAGCAATTCTCTAGATGTTATTAAAGATTCGAGTACGATTGAAATGATGAATTTCGATAATCTCTTTCGACGTTTTATATTAACTCAATCATTTGTACGTGGTTGGAGAAATCCATTTTATTTACAAGAAACTTTTACCTATCGACGTGAAAAAATTGGTGTAAGAGATGAGTGTTTAGAAATTGTACCATCTGAAAATGTACAGGAAAATACTGTTGAAATAATTAAACAAGAAACAAAAAGGTAATCAAAATTATATAAATGCTCGATTTCGTTCACCACTTGCCAATTATTTACCACATTTGGTAAGTAATTAAAATTATTTTAATCATTTAATTAATATTATCTTTTTTCTTTTGTTCTATTTATTTAAATGGGTTCCATATCAAGTAGCTACAGCTCATTTTCAACGTGTTCTATCACGTGATCAAGGTTTTAGTCGACGAAGGTTATTTACTGCAGTCCCATTAATTAATCAATATCCTATAGGTTCAATTCTTCTTGAAAATCCATATTATGGTTTAAGAAAACAACCAGATCTACTGTATTGGTGTCAAAAAATGAAATTAACATCAGCTATTCTACATGGTTTTTCCCTTGGTGGACATATGGCTTCATTAGCATTTACAAAGTAAGATTCAATTCTATTATTTGATCTATTTAATGCATGGATATACAGTATCTATCATAATTTCAAATAATGATTCAAGTAGAGCAAACCATATTACAAAAAGAATATAAATGAAAAACATTGATTATTTGATTCCCTAAGTTAGGATTTTTTTAGACAACCCAAAAGCCTAATTTCTCAGTATCTAGTACATGAACTCTCTAGGACAGTTTTTTATTGAGTAAAAGTTGAATCATTTTGGTAGTCATTGTGTATATATTTATATTTTAGATGGCCTGATCTACCTTCTCGACAATTCTATAAAAATAAAGCCTCTCAAACATTTTATGATTATTTACGTGAACGAAATCGATCAATAGATTCAAATAAAATTGTTCTCAATCTTATTAAAGATATGATGCGTCTCCTTATGGATGAATTTACATCTTTATATAATTATTCATGTTCGATATATTTCTCATGGATATGATAGTGCATTTTTATAATCATATCACCAATTTCTGTTACTACACCTAAAAATTCGTGAAGATATATATTTTTTTTAATATAGATATTTTCTCGAAAAGTATCAAATATTTCCTAGTTTTTGTGTTATGATTTGAATAATAACTCAGAGAAAAGAAAACTTTTGATCGAATATAAACTAGATAATATATTAATCGTTTTGTTTTTTAAATATAATTTGTATGACTCTGGTAAAAACATGAGCAAACATTTTTTTTGTTCTATTTATCAGCAAATAGATATTGAGAGAACTTCTCCAACTGATATCCTCTGATCGAGCTCATAAGTAGGACTCATAGTGATGATGAAAATATTAAACATGTTCGTGCTCTTAAGCCTTTCATGATTGTTCTATTAAATTTCCAGCATATTGCAGGATATTAGCAAAAAAAAACTGCAATAACGAATCTCCATTTGAAACTTTCTTCAATAACAGATCTCATAACAATTATTATATTCTAAAATTTTTAGCTCAAACGAATGAATCCAAGTCAAGCAATCAGACAGTGAGATCAATCACAGATTCTTGTACGTTCATACAAGATCGTACAATTTGATTTCACTATATTGTTTGAATCCTTTATAATAACCCATACAGGTTAGAGTTCTCTTCTTTATAAATTACCATACCATCCATACGCATACATAGCCAACATTTAAAGGGCATGGGCGAAAATCATGGATTTTCGACCATGTCCTTTTCAATCTTTTAAGTTTTGTGCATCGTTGCATTTTTTTCACTTGTTGTAGATTAATTAATCAGTTTTTCTTTCGTTAGGGTCAGATCCTCACAGAACTCGATTTTTGAATTCCTCTATTGGTGAAATAAAAAACTTACATATTTCATTTTTATCAGTAATTTTTTTTCGGCCATGAATTCGAGAATTTTTCGGAAAAAAATTTTTAAAAAACAAACAAAGGGAATTTCAAAAATCGAGCCCTAAGCTCCCGAATATGTCAGCTCATATTCTGATTGCGAAAACATTGCCCGCGTACAGAGTACTTTTGACTATCCTAGCCTAGACTAGTATTCCTACAAAATTCGGCTGAAATCGGACGAAAAATAACAAAGTTGATTTCTGAGGGGGACCCCTTAAAAAGTTGAGCCATTGTGCGTACTTCCTTTTTGTGTTCTTCGAACAGCCAAAGAAAAGATGTTTGCTTTATTACTTTTTTTTGTTATATCTTATCTCTTGTCTACAAAGATTATTTTGTTGTTTTCGTTTTATTCTATAATAGATAAATAAGAATGTGCTGTTTTGTTTTCATTCATATCATAATTCATTACTATTGTTCATGTGTTTAGATGACAGATACAAGTGTTGATGAAGTATCTCCACTTATATTTCATAGTGCACATATTCCAAATGTACCTGATAATCGAACTATATTTCAACGAAAACTTTCTGTATGGTTAATTCTATTAAGTGCTGGTTTTGAACG